GTCTTTAGAGTACCACATGCCAAAAAAGAACTCTCTCATACATCCACAAATGAATTAAGAGCAATAAAAGCTGAAAAAAAGATAATAACGCTGACCCGCTCATTCACGTCCTGCACTTTACCTGCTTGTGAAAGATCTGCTGTGGGTGTACGTGGCTCACTAATATGCAGGCTAGTCAAGTAGAGAAGAAAAAGAAAAAAAAGAGACAAAGCAAATGGAAGATGAGGTCATCAGATCTGGCCCACGCAACCTTCCACTCAGCCTCATCGTTGCAGGTTCTTCAGTGAGCGTAATGATATTCATTTACGAAAAACGCTGTCGGATCACGGTCACCCGGCCACGCACAACGGCTGCAACATTTTATTAGCTGCACTGTCAAGGTGACCGAGCTGTGACCCATGCTGCTCCGTCCCAATCAGCCTTACTGGAGTGTGCTTCACCTGAAAGGACGCTAGAGTGGAGTGCACAAGCAGGAGTTGTGGGTAAATGCATTCAGGTCTCAAAAGAGCCTGCAAAATCTGCAATCTCTTGCATCAATGCAGAGCTGATGAAAGAGACAATGATTTTCTCTTTTGTTACCTTTAGAAGTCTAAAGATATTATAGCTGTTTGGTATGTGTTCAATTTACATGATGTAACTTGTAACAAAAAAAGAAAATCTCAAAAAAATTAAAAAACAACACAAAAATGCAGCATGATATTACTTTCTGCAAAATGAGACTTTAGTAACAATATTATTTGGGAAAAAAAAATATTCTTATATGATCCTTACCTAATTACAAACACATAAGTGTTTAAAACCTGCATTTGCACTAGAATTTTTCTGTGTGCTATGAACATATGATTATAACAGGCCCTTGTTAACACTGGCATTGACTGCAACTTCTAAGGTTAACTGCCTTTAACCTGAGACATTGGGCCTCATTCTCCAACCGTTCTTCAGAAAACCCATTTATACAGTTTTCCCGAAGATTCTGACATTCACCAATGCTTTATTTGGGATTTGTTCTTAAGTAAGAACAGAATCTATGCACATTCAAAAGCACAAATGTGCAAACATTTATGTAGTTTGAGAACAATACACATCTGCAATTTTTAATTTATATAATCATCGTGCTTGTTGCAAACTTAAACCCTACATATTGTAGTAATAATCTTATTTCACTGTTTTGGGTGGAAACAAAAGGATTCAATTATTGAAACACCAATCGGGAAATGATCCAATCAGGACTATTTTCTCTGTGGTATCTAGGCCAAGCAGGCTCTGCCATTGGTTAGAACTTCAGGAACTTAACACGTCAAATTAACCACTAATATAATTAGAAACTGACAGAGGAATCAACCAATCCCATTTTGGTTCAATGGGTGAGATCAATTTTGAGAAGAAAAAAAAAACATCACTCTTGGCCTTCGTGAAGTCCTAGATATGGCACTGACTGGGAATTTGAGGGGTAAATAAAATGTTAAGCGATAGCTCACCAGTCGATCAGCAAAACATGTTGTGTCTAAAGGACAACAGTATATTATGCAGTGTTAGAAACCACACAAGTCTATATGAGATTACAACTTTCCGTTGAGGTAAGTACGTGATGATTTAGGCAAGCAGTTTGCTCAATGCTAATTTGTAGGTATAGGCGTTCATTACTCATCAGCTACATTAGTGTGCAAATTTAGCCAAAGTATTCTTTTAAAGGTTCAAATGAAAAACAAAGTATATTCGGACGGTTGAGTGTATACAGGATGCTGCAGCAGTAATAAACTCTATGAGAGACTGATGCCATGCCAAAGTGCAGCCTCATGATCAATGCCCAAAATCTCACACTGCAGACCTGCCTCTGGGTTCAAATGAGTCAATCTGTGCATCAATCTGCCCAAAGCTTTTACAGAGGCCAAGTATGGAGCTGCACACGCCAGTACAGGTGACCCTCAGGGTCAGCAGACTCGATAAAGTAGAAGAGCCGATGTGCATTCATTCAGATGGTAGCAGGGAAACTTTTTTACCTTAATAATCTAGAACATCAAAATCAAGAGTTTAACCACAGGCTGGACGATTAAAACACTAAGCTGCTCCACATTTAAATAAGGCCTTCAAACCACTCGGCTAAAGCCTTAGCTAATGTCAGAGCTAAAACAGGGATGCCTCTCTGAACATCTGGTCTAAAGCCACAAGTTCTCTTTCACATGAAAAATGCCCATTCACAATTTAATTGATTTGATGCTTAGAAATCTAATCAGGTGGTCCATTTTATCCAATTCATTCCAGTCAGGTGCAGAGTCTCTCCATCTGACACATTCACACATGCTCGTCGTTCTGCTCTTCTCTATTCTGTCTGTAATCAGTACAGCGTCTGACAGTCTGACAGGTAGCGTGCCATTTTGGAAGAGTGTGAGAGAGTGTCTAATCACACCTCGGTTTCTCTCTTCGTCAGAGCAGCACCAACCTGCAAAACATACCCTCCACTTCACGATCAAAAAACACTCTATCGAGAGAGAGAGAGAGAGAGAGAGACAGACAGACAGACAGACAGAGAGAGAGAGCGAGAGAGAGAGACAGAGGGAGAGGGACAGAGAGACAGACAGACAGAGAGAGAGAGAGAGCGCGAGAGTGCAAGAGACAGGAGAGAGAGCAAGAAAAGAGAAAGATAGAGAGAGTAGTGAGGGACAGAGATTAAGTCTGAGTGAGCAAAAGACAGGAGAGAGCAAGACAGTGACCGAACGAGAGAGCACAAAAAAGAGAAAGAGTGGAGGGAGAGAAGGAGGGAGAATGGTAGAATAAGAGAGAGAAAGAGCAAGAGAAAGAAAGCAAAAGAAAGAGTGAGAGACAGGGAAAGGAGACAGGAGGAGTAAAAAAAAAAACAAGAAAAAAAGAGCAAGAGAGAAAGAGAGAGAACAAAAGAGAGAGAATTTGAGAGACAGAGAAAGATTATTAAAATCAAGAGAAATGGGATAAATGGATCGCACACACACAGACACCCGTCTGTCTGTCTGAAAGGAAAATATTCAAGCTTCTCAAGAGAGAGCCCTTGTTATTTTCAACAACAATCAAAAGCATTAACTCCATGACGCAATACCTGCTGCCCAAAAAGTTCAGCTTTTTCCTCTCCTGTCCTGCAGCACAGTGGTGGATTGTACACTTCTGTCTGCCTGACCATTCCTCTACTGCACTGTTCCTATCTATGGTAAAACCATGCATCAAATTACAATAAGAGATTGCATTAACTGTTCTCCAGCACATGCACAACCTTGGCTATATTTCTAATGAGCATTGAATCATAATTTCCTTTCATTTAAGGAGAAAGAGAAATCTTCATTGCTTTTTAATTTGAATGTAACAGAGCAGAAACGTAGCCTATACATGTGGGGACAGAATTACAACCTCAATTAACCCTGTGCAAATTAAAAGTGCTTTTCCCAGCACTTCTCTTTCTGTGACATGGGGACTCAACATAACTTGGGATCAGAGAGACAGAGTGTGTGTGTGTGTGTCCATGAGCTTTGTTCAACCAACAACACAATGCAGAGAGAAACTCAAACTTGGTTTGATGGTTTAAGGTCTTCAAGCTAAATTTATAAAAAGATAGAAAAGCTTGGCACTAAGCAAAAATAAATATGGCTTGGCTCATTCAAGTGTGTGAGTGTGCGCGTGTGTGTGTGCACATACATATATGAATGTGTGTGAATATAAAAATTATAGCTAAATCCAACACAGAATGAGACCATTAGAAAATTAAGCAACATAACATCACTGTCCAGACAAAACCTTATATCTACAATTTTGTCATTTTAACATAACTTGAAAAATCCAGCTGCCCTTTACACTGTGAGGAAAAATCATGAAGAATGGACCAACAGAAATGCTCCAAAATCACTTTAAAGCATTTTTAGATTCCTATATTTGTTTTCTTCCTCACTACATGTGAAGGATATATTATCTGCAAAGCCCTGTTTACAGTTCGGTGAGCAGCTCTGTGTATTCTTTCTATTTTACTCTTTTATTTAATGTGGTTAATATATTTATTTTACTTTGCATACTTGCTTTGAAGTGTATAATATTAAGTAAGCTACTGTAACGCCTGTTCCTGCCAAGTACCAATAAAATGTTATTTTATTAATTTAATTGTTTAATCAGAAAACATAATCTGGACTAATCAGGCCTTATCAAATGCAATGAGACGTGCTTGCATGTAAATAAACTGTTGCCAAGTAGAGAAAAAAATTATGTAGAAATAATCAAGGTGTGTTTTCCACTAAATGAATACAAAGAAAGAATGATATAATAATCATATTTCTTTATTACCAGTTTCATACATTCCTTGTACTACAGAGGATGCTTGATCTGGAGAAAGAAGCCTTTTTCCAGGTACTAGAATGTTTTTCCTGCTGGTCTCTCTCATCATACACTTACATTATTAGCAGTGAGGACTCTTCAAGACTTTTCTAAAGCAGTGGCTTTCCTGCCTAGATGGAGAATCAAACTCGTATCTCCTGTGCATGAGGAGAAGTGATTATCCATTATGCTACCACACTACATGCTGCATTATTGCTTGAGGTTTAATTTTTTGTAATGAGTCTTTACTAATGAGACAAGAAGGGGTAGCGAGACACTCCAGCTGCCACAGTCACTCAATTGCATGCATAAAAATCGCATTAAGGTCACCTCAATATTTACAATGTTGTCTTTTTTGTATCTTCAAAAATAATCACAAATAAATCTCCTACATTTTTCTTGTATGTTATTTTTTCCATTGAATCTTTTAATGACATTTGTGTGGGTCTATGCACCAAAATTGTGCCTTATTCAAACAGCAGTATGTGCTGACACATCTTTATAACATCAAAGTGCATGGGTGGGGCTAAACTGCAGCGGGCTGAATAGGTGGATACGTAAATACCGTTTTTTGTTACATCACAAAAACAATGATTTCAAAGCCAGTTTGTAGCTTTCTATATTTAGACCATATGGACTGCTGAGTGAATGGAATTTTTCTTTGAGGGGCTCACCTCCAGGTGCTCAAGGATGTACGGTGGGTTGGTCATGCCCAGCCGCAGCATGCAGCCCTCCGGAATCTCCTTCACCAGCTCCCACAGCAGAGATGGCAGGTCTGTCCCAATGTCTCTCCCATATGCACCTGTGTCCTCACTGGTCAGCCAGATCTCACAAACCCCCTCTGCAAGACAACACACACACACACACACACATCTGTGTAAACCTTAGATGTCACTGTTCGCGTCTGCAACAATAAAAGTGTATCGTAATTTTGAATTAGTTATTTATTATTCACCATCAATAAACAAGAGGAGAAAATGTTGAAAGTGTAGAAAAAAATTATAATATATATTTATATATACATACACACACCACATAGTCCTTTTTGGCATACACACTATTACAATTACATTACAAGCAGCATTATGCTAATTTGCTTTTTTGCTCTTGGGGACCCCTACAGTTGCGAAGTATAATTAATTTTGACACCACTGTCATACAAATCTTTCTCTAAGCACCCCTCATGGACAGCTGTACACATGCATTTGTTGGTGAGTTGAAGGATACAGAATTTAACTACCCTTTACATGTATGCGTGGCACACAGGGATATGAATGTGACAGATTACACACACCATTTCGGTTGTTCCTATGCGCAAATAATCGAAATCACAAGTGTAATCTGCAGCATCCATATGCCTACATGATGCGTGTGCACAGGAATGGGAGTCGGATTCTTCCGGGAATCAGCACAACACTGGCAAAGACAACCTCAGAAGAAAAAGAACCATGTCGACTTGCAAGGTAGAGTAATATTACAAGATTTTATCACAGAAGGTTGCAAACTTGTTCGGTGTGAGACTGACAAAGACTGACCAAACTTTCTGGCTGATATTAATTTATTTCTTTGCATGCTAACCTGAATCGAGACTGAGGTTAGATGACTTTTGGCATCTGGAAAAACTACAAAAAACTCTGTGAGGCAGGGATGACACTCTGCGGTCAGATTTTTGTTGTTTACGCATTAGCCTTGAGACAAAGTGCACCCTTTTATCTCTTAACTCTCGCCAATGAGTAAAAGCCAAACCGAGATTTACTTTTGTCTGGTTTCTTGCTCGGTGACGCTCCTTTTCCCTTCCTCACTTCCTTTGACAACGTCTTCTTCAGTCTCCTCGCAGCCTCTGCCATGATGTTCATAATGGGAAAACAGAGCTAGCTTCTTTTTATTGCTAAAGGAAGAGGTCGCAAGAGGTTTCATGCCTGCTCCTTCAAAGTTACATAACGCTACAGCAGCAAGCAAAATTGTTACATGATCTTGCTTTAAATAGAAGGAAACAGAAATTGTCCTAATTCCATGCTCTTACTAAAAATCTTTTAGTGTAGGACTTATGACACTGACTACCAGAAAATGAGGCATGTTATGACATCCATCTTCTATGCTTTTTTAATCCATCTACAGTAATGTTAATATGTGGAACTCATGATAGACCATCACCGTCCACCTGGAAACAGTCACCCCTACCATCGAGGGCTCACTAAGCCTGACTTAATGGACAGAGGATCATTAGCCACAGTGATGCAGTTACTGTCATACGAGAGAGGTGTGTGTATGTGTGTGTGTGTGTGTGTGTGTGTGTGTGTGTGTGTAATTCAAGGATGTCTGCAGTAACTTCCCATCAGATCAAGCCCAACCGCATTAGTTCTAATGGGAAGCTTTATGCTTACATTATTAATCCATTGCCATCAGGTCAGTTCTGTCTGAGCATGAACAATGAGATGGACTACTATCTCCACAACCACTCCATAAGTGAAGCATTAACACTGCTCTCCTCCAGAACCCTCTGCTTGTTTATGAACTGGCTGGAAAGTGTGTGCACCTAATCAACAACTGTCTGGATTGATGAAAATGGGACTATCTGTGAAGTTTGTGAGTCAGAAAAGCTCTCTGGTAGACCTGGGAAATAAAACAATAAGGATAACTGTTAATAAGAATTTGCCATTGCAAAGACTTATTATTCATAAATAATTACTAGTCACAGCATAAACCAGTGTGATAGCTAGCTAGCTATATTCATTTCTGTTCTTTAAAAAAATATGCAAATTCTACTTTAGCATTTAATGTTAAATTACATAAACATGCTAACTAGCTATTTTTCTACAAAAATTAGCCATTTGCTTTTATCATGATCAAAATACTATTGTGAATTAAAACTTTAGGAAATGTAAAGAATAATTTCCCTAATATTAATCTTATCCTGAATCCAAACCTAATCCTAACTCAGGTCTAAACCTGACCTGGATGCATACCCTAACCCTCACATGGCTGAGAATCAACCATGCAGGTTCTGCAGGAATTTTGGTGATAATCTGTAGAGTATCTATAGGGAGCTGGGACTAATTATTGTGAAAATTATGTGAGAAAAGATACATCAAAAGTACTTCATAATAAGATTTTTGGTGATATTGCCCAGGCCTACCCCCTGTACCTGGCAGGATAGTGGCAGCATGAAGGACATGAGAGTGTGTATCTAACAGGACTCCACACGTAGTCCATGTCTTTTCATAGAACAGCTATAGCACCAGACAGAAACAGAGAAATGGCCAGTGTGGTGGTGTGTGTTAGCAGCACCTGGCTGTCTGAAGTACGTGACTGCTTAGTGCAGTGTTTCAGCTGATGGAGGCTACAGTTCACGTTCGATCTGGGAGAGGAGTTAATGAGTGTGTGTGCAGGCTTCAACCCTGAACTGCTCATTCTCATAGGACAAACACACACAAGCGCGTCAATATTAATCCACACACTCACTCGGCGCTTTCGCTAAGCATCAATTAATTATCAATGAAACATTGATTCCGCTTGCACCGCTGCCCTGTCAATTATTTACCAAACCATTTCCACTGGGGTAAAACCCCTCACAAAAACACGTAGAAGCCACATAAATAAGAATAGACCATCAAACGGCAAAACAGTCGATAGAGCAGATTTGACACGGAGGGAGAGAGATATTCTACACAGTATATATCCCATCCCAGTGTGTGGCACTTGCATACTGCATCCTTAAGCAGGATCCACCAAAGACAAGCAGCTCCCATTCACTGCGTAGTTCTATATCTGTGACTAGTGATGCCACGATACATCAGTTTCTTTTCTCAAGACTGATAAAGCCTAAAGTTTCAGCCAATACTTCACTTAAGATGAGCATTTAATCATGATCAAACTACCTACTAGTAGTTTGTACACTTTACTACCCCACAGCTATCAACAAATACACAGCTATCAACATCACATCACACAATGTGAGTGTGTGCTATTACAGGCTGGATTTACCACAGGATTCATTTGGATTCATTCTTTTTTTCCCCTCTCTGATATCAGATCCGGCAACTGAAACTGGCCCGATACCAATACCTGGCGTTAGATCTGTGCCATCTCAGAGCCAACTCAAGCCCATCCACACATTCAAATCCAAGCTCATATGACACATGCTACTTTTTTGACAAATTAATGTTTACAAACTGCTACACTGGCCATAATTCTGGGTAGGGTGTGGGACCTTGGAAGGTACCGAAGCTGAATCCCAGCAAGACCAAGCTGCTATTCTTCCCTGGAGCTATAGGTCCTCACTAAGATCTTGCCATCTCATTCAATGACACCTTGGTCATTCCATCTGGAGATGCACAAAGCCTTGGTGCGATTCTGGATGATCAGTTATTGCAAACCTGACTCAGTCATGCATGTTTCCTCTACAAAATCAAGGACTCAACCCTTTCTCTCTAGGGAGGCCAACCAGGTGCTTGTTTAGTCTCTTGTCATCTCAAGACTTGTCTACTGCAACTTGCTCCTGGCTGGTCTTCCTATGAAGAAGGCCCTTGCAACTGACACAGAATGCAGCAGCATGGCTTGTCTTCAATTTTCAAGTTCCCTCATGACACCGCACTGCTGTGTTTCCTTCACTGGTTTCCTGTAGCTGAAGATTTAAAACCCTGATGCTTGCCTATAAAGCTAAAAATGGACCAGACCCTCCCTACCTGATGGCCACAGTCAAAACTCCTTCGGTACCTCAAGCTCTTCAAGCTTCAAGTATGGCTAGGCTTGATCTGCCATCCTTCAAGACGCACAGAAGTCAAGCATCAAGACCCTTTTGCTCATGGCATCCAGGTTATGGGAAAAAAAACTTTAAATGGTCTTTAAATGGTGACTCAACCTAGCTCTTTGAACTTTGAACACTTTAATGAACACTAATTGAGCACTTATTGAAATGTTTTAATTCTGTATTTTGTATCAACACTGAGTCTTTTAGCTCCAGGGCAGTTTGCACTATAACCCATTTGTGCTAGTTAGGACACATTCTCAGAGTATTTTTGTAAGGAAAGTTAACCAGTAAAAGAAAGTCAGTCAACCTGTGGGACTCTGCATGGTCACTGTCATTAACTGAGCAGGCAAAACATTGTGGGTGTGTGTGAGGTGATCCAGCACTTTTCCATTAGCACAGCTCTCATTAAAAATGATCTATGTTATTGTACTCCACCACTATGTTCTTTCCAGATCTAATGGACTGATGTCATATACAGTTCAATTTTCCAGGGAGAGAGACTGAGAGAATGAGGGAGATGGAAAGAGGGTTAGTGTGGAAAAAGTGTCCACTGCTTCATTGTGGAAAGGTGTGGAGATCGAGACCCCCACAGTGAGGCGCCTGTGTGTGTTTAGGTGAGTTTGTGCGGGTGGTTAGGAAACAGCTGCATCTGGGTCCGTCGGCATCGGGACTGATGGCCACCCTTCCTTTCCTGGAGAGAAAGATACTGCTGTAACACACATGCCACTGTCACAATGCCCAGCAGGCCCACAAAGACCAGGCCTGGTCAGTGGGTTTGTCTTATAGCAGTATCAGTCTAATGTGACATCACTATATGACTGTGCTTCCATTTCAATGACCAGGAGAATCAAAATATATTCTGCATGTTGTACAGTTTAATGCAAGAACAGCCATCAGAAAACAGAAATTAAAAGTTTTACTGTCTACTTGTATAAACTAACTGACATGACAACGTTTAATGACTTCAGTGAACAGTAATATTCCTAACAATAACGTTTACTGTGCAAGAGCGGTCTAATCAAACTGATCAACATAATCGTTACACAGAACCCTGTGGCAGGTCCATACAATTCACTGGTTAATCTACCTAA